GCAATAACATCCGCCAACTCCCTCAGCACTCAAAGGTGCATCCCGTCGGGGGCCGTAGATTTGTGGGTGTCCTACTTATTGTCTTGTTCCCAGCACACAGGATCCTGAACTCCACTACCTCATGGTCACTTATTTGTAACTACTTGGTAGCATACAAGAACTGCTCGTAGATGAAAAGTACTATTTCCTATGTTGTTTAAAGATTTTATTATCTTCAGGGAGTATTCATCAATCTGACATGCCACAAGAAAATTCTTTTTGCACCTCAATATTTCAGGGAATCCATCTCTTTCACTACTGTGATAGTTTAACCTAGCTGGCAGCCAAACAAGACACAGCCACTCACAGCCCCTCCTCCCTTCCCTCCCCCACCTCCCCAAAGCAAATCAGGGATAGAATTGGAGGGGTAAAGGTAAGGAGACTTCTAGGGTGAAATAAGAACAATGTAATAATTAGAGTGAAATAAAATTAAAATAGTAATAATAGTAATAGTAATAATAATTATAACAACTATATCTTATGAGTGAGGCACAGTACAATTACTCACCACCCGCTGATAATGATCCTAGAGGAGCAAAAAAGAACCCTGAAAGCGAAATCACAATCCCAGAAAAGCAAGCCCAAGCAATTCCCAAGAGAATCCCCCCTTTTCCAGTCAGCCCCAGTTAATACACTAAACATGATGTAATATGATATGGAATATCTTATTGCCATATCCAGCTGCCAATTATGGGTGTTACTAACTACTACACGCTTCTTCCTGCCCCCTCGCCCCAGTCCTCTGTACTTGCAAACTACATAAACACAGTGTCCTTGTACTTTATCAACATTCTTCTCATAACAGTCTTCACTGAAACCAAAACACAGTGCTTTCCAGCTACTAAGAAGAAAATTAACCCTACCCTAGCAGAAAAACAGGAAAATTATCCTATTCCATGTTTATTATTTTTGCATTTGCTTCTTGTGTTAACTGCTACTTTTATCTTCAGAGCTGTCAGATCCTGTTTCTGCCAGTTACTATAAACTTCCCCCTCCTTCCACCATCTTCCTTCACATTTTCTCAAATAGTTTGCTTTTGAAAACTTTTTTCCCATTTGCTCTATAAAGCTCTTCTCGTCTCTATTCTCTTTACAAAGTCTCCAAGGTACTGTGATATCTTTCTCTCCAGTATCTCCCTGATATTTTAATTTAAAAATAAAAATTTTAATTTTAACTTCCATTTTATAATGTTGTCATCATTATTTAACCTCCCAGATACATGTCTAGACTTATTCTTCCTGTCACTCAAATATACAACTCCTGATGGACCAGGTGCAATGTAATTTTACACATCAGCCATTGCAAAATATTACATATGTGGCTTCTATCCTTTTGTATCCAAGGAGGGCCCATCACTTTATGTGTCAAAATAAAGCAGAAGCAATCTTCACATACCTTTATAGTCAAAAGACAGACAAATATTGTAATATCTACCTGTTACTATGTTATTTTCTTTAAATTCAGTTAATAAACTGTTTACAGTTAATAAACTGGCCCAGGAAGAAGGGAGAGAAAGATTAGGTATCTCTCCACACCTTGACCATACTAAGAAATGGCAATATTAATGAGTGGCAGAGACACCATACTCTTTTTATGTTTTTTATCAGGAGAGATGAGAGCTGGCCTACAGTTGGAAAGGAGGCAGATATGAAAATCTGCCTGCGCCACTCCTGGGATTGCCTCTATAGGGTAGCACAGCCTGCACAGCTCTCCTCACCAGCATGGGTGGAACGACACCTCACATGGGCCAAACCTCCATGGAGAGGTCACTTTTAGATGAGTCATTTTGCAGACAGCTGGAGAGGCTGAGCTGTACTCTGGAAGAATCTTAGCCTGAGTTCATTTTTCCAAGAACTGGGTCTGTTTCCAACATCAAATTCATGCTTGCTGATGCTAAAACAACTCAAGTGGTAAAAGATATGTATATGTATAACTCTTTAAAAGTCTTGGTACTTCCTGCAGAAGGGAGAGAGCACAGCAGGTTGAGGGAGAAACACATTTAGTTCAATGGATGCTGCTTCCATTAATCTGAAGCAAAACCTCAACTAGATGGTGGCACCGTTTCACAGGTGAACACTAATTCACATTGCATCCTCAAATTCAGAACCTTAATCATATAAAAACAGAGGAACAAATTCACTCATAAGAAATAGAAATTCAGTGTCCAGGGTGTGAATCCAGCTTTCAGAATTTTTCTTGTGTCTTTGGATTGTGACATATACTGAAACATGTATGTGGATGTTGAGCTTCATTATGTGTTTCGTCTGAAGGAAAAGGTTATGCTCAGAACTTGTGGAAAAAAAAGTAAATTAATTCTATGACCATTTTCTCCTAAAATATTTCATATTAAATTTCTGAATATTAAATAATGAAGCAAAAGCCCATAATAATCAGAGAGTCATGTCAATATGCAGTATTGCAAGTTTATGCACTTACACTAAAATCCCAAAGAGTAGCAAAGTTCATAGCACTAGCTTCTTCAGCTCTTGGGACAGTTTTTCTAGGTAAAGAGCCATATGGCTTCCCCATCAAAGCCTAGAACCAAAAAATGAGAGCAATGTACATTTTAAAGTAAAACACCAACAAAAGGAAGGGACAGTGATCTGCGATTTCTTAGGAAGACTTATTTAATGCTCCTAAACTCCTTAGTGAGAATGACCCACTTCTCCTGTTCTCTTCATTGTTCCTCACACTAATGATTGAAACTATGCTTAAAGTATCCATTAATGGCGTTTTCTAAATTTAAAATGATGTTCTATTATTATCAATGGATTGTCAAGCTATGCTTCTTACATTCAAAGGCAACACAGATGTCCAAATTTTTCTGGTGAGCAGTGTTTCTCTTACAGACAAGACCAGAAGATTATTATTTCTTACATTATGGGTTTTCTTGGGTTTTTTAATTGAAATGTATGGAAAGATGCTAAGGATTCAGGTTTTGGATTTGGATTCTGGAGGTCCCCCTGCCACTGGTGAGACGCTTGCTTAGCCACAGCATATGTCCTCATGGTGTCATTTCCAGGCTTTACCCTGAGAAGTGTTGGGCATATTTTCTGTTTTGGCTTCAGTGGAAGATGGACCGTACTATTGAAATGCTATTCTAGGAAGCTGTTGGAAACTCCTACCTGACTCTTACTTCTTACAAGAAGTTAAGGTAAGCAAGAGGGTGTGGAATAGTGAAATTAAGGAGATGACGCAATATTTTTAATTCCATATAAACCCTCTTTTTAGGAATACAATATGGTGGCTCAAAGGAAATAGAAAAATAAAACATTTTACAGAAGTCATTTCTGCCTGAATTACATCTTCTCTGAGCAGTGATGCTGCACACAGCATAAAACATGAGGTGTCTTTTTCATGACTGTAAGGTCCTTTTGAGCCTTATCAGCATGTGAATATTAAGGCAACTGAAAAAGATCCATGATGCCTCAGAGGCCTGGAATGTATCTTTCTATTGCAATGCATATTTTAGTCAAGATACTCCACTTGGCTGTTTCTTAGTCTCAGTTCCTCTCCTTAGTTCTCCGTAGAAAAAAAAAGTTGTTTAGCACCACCACTCCAGACCACGCCATGGGAAAACACTTCAGGACACAACCCTATATACATTTTCCTGTCATGTGTATTTCAAGACATCCCTCTGTAAGGGAGAGTATATCTTTACAGACTTAGTACACCTGAGTACTTTTAAATGAATCATAAAGAGACTATAAATTTATTTAAAGGTCCAGTCCTTTGAAATCTCACTGCAAAGACAGAAATTCACATTGATTAATAATTCTTGAATTGTAATTTAAAATGTTCCCACCTCAGGCACCATTACAAGTCCGAAGGTCAGTCCAAAAAGAATCATGTTTATTCCATACATCCAGCGCAAGAATATGAAGTAAGATGCCACTGATGACCCAAAGTGACCTACAAAAACAAGATGTGAAAAAAGGGCAGATAAGTTTGTCCTCTTGTGTTATTTCACCTTAAGATGAAGTTGCTCAATGTTTATTTAAAATAAATAAAATCAGAAGAGGCTTTTAATTTTCTTTATTACTATAATTCTAAGAACTTTTTTCCAGATTGCATACTAGCATTCACTGACCTGGCAGAGAAAATAGAAAAAAAAAATATTTACACAGAGTATTTAGGGTTACATAAAAGCTGTGATATTTACTAATATTAAATCCCCTAGCAGCAGGATTCAAAGCAAATCACACTTTTATTTTTATTTTTTGCCTGTTGTGGATTGTAAGCATCCTTGACATGTTAAGCCAGCATCAGCCCAATTTTAATAGGAAGCAACAGAGAATTAACCAGTGGTGATAATCTTTCCAAGGGCACAAAGTACTTGTAAGTGCTGTTACTGGAGTGCTCACCAGAGTTGTTCAGTAGGGAACAGGATCTGCAAGTGCTAGTACCCTTTTCTTTTGCTTACATATGCTATTTATGTGTTCCATCTGCACCCAGGTGTGGATGCAGCCCCATCACCAGGTTCACAGAGGAAGCCTTGGGATCCACCTCCTCTAGATCACTGACTCAGACCTGTACAGAGAAGAAGAGACTGGACAGGAAGCAGGGAGCACTAAGGACCCGATTTAAAAAACACTTTGCAAGTCAGGCCAAACAGAAATTACAGTTCAAATTCAACCCCAGCTTGCTGCAATACCACTCTGATGAGTATAGGACAGCTGGCACTCATGTTCATCAGTCTGTCAGAGTTAGTAAAATACCAGATTTCAGTTCCATTACTGGTTCTTCACAGGGGAAAAAAGTGATCTTTCAACAGACTTTTTCATACACAGTCTAGTTGAGGAGCCTGATGCACTCTGATGGCAAATAATGAGAAGCAAATCTCTGAACAGAGAGAAATTTACACTGGTATTTCCACACTGTTTTGCAAGCCTTATAACAGACTCATCCACTCTATAAAATGAGGTTAACATGGCTGTGCTATTTGAGGCATATATATGCACATTTTACTATAACGACATTTAATACACTTAAAATGCTTTAACCCCAGAGTAGAAACAGAGACCGACTGGTAAGACACATTTATCAGGGCTGTGCAAAGGCAGGAACAAGCCTTTCTGTCAAGGATTTCAGCATTTCAAAATCTGTTTTATTCACAGTTCAGAACAAAACCACAGTTTTGAAATTTTGCATTAAGAACTAGCCAATCTTAGCAGTGATTGGGAAGTTTGGATACAAGCATAAAGCAAGAGATTTTGAGTTAGTCTATCTAGCTGTGATCTGCTGATTATCCAGTTACAACCCAGCAATGGCCTTCAGGGATGCTATGGACTCAAACAAGTGAAGTGCAGGAAATTAGGAAGATTTCTGATTTCAAGACACTTTTGATACTGTAGACCTCTTCATGCGGCATTAGTTCTTTTGCTCAAATCCTAATATCCCCTTTCTTTTTGGAATGGTTTCTTTTCATGCATTGAGTTATAGCTCTTGTATCAACTATCCTAATGAAACCACTGCCATGCATCCAAATGGAACACCTGCATTAAGGCACTGCATTGGAATTACATGCATCAATATAGTTGTATTGGGTTTGCATGGCAACATTTTGGTAGCGGCAGGGGGGGCAGGGAGGTGGCTTCTGTGAGAAGCTGCCAGAAGCTTCGCCCTTGTCCGACACAGCCAATAACAGCTGGCCAAGGCCGAGCCAATTAGTAACACCTCTCTGATAACATAATTAAGAAAAAAATGCTGCACATTTTGCAGCTGGAGAGAGGAGAGTGAGAAGATGTGATAGAAACAACCCTTGCAGACACCAAGGTCAGTGAAGAAGGAGGGAAGAAGGTGCTCCAGGTGTCTGAGCAGAGATTTCTCCACAACTTGTGGTGAAGACCATGGTGAGGCAGGACCCCACACCGGAGCAGGTGAAGGCCTGAAGGAGGCTGTGACCCCATGGGAAGCCAGCGCTGGAGCAGGTTCCTGTCAGGACCTGTGGCCCTGTGGGGAGAGGAGCCCACACTGGAGCAGGTTTGCTGGCAGGACTTGTAACCCCATGGGGGACCAACGCTGGAGCAGTCTGTTCCTGAAGGACTGCACCCCATGGAAAGGACCCAGGCTGGAGCAGTTTGTGAAGAACTGTCATTCATGGGAAGGACTCACATTGGAGAAGTTTGTGGAGAACTGTCTCTCATGAGAGGGACCCCACGTTGGTGCGGGGGAAGGAGTCCTCTCCCTGAGGAGGAAGGAGCGGCAGAAACAACGTGTGATGGACTGACCACAACCCCTATTCCCTGTCCTGCTGTGTCACTGCGGGGCAGGAGGTGGAAATTGGGAGAGAAGTTAAGCCCAGGAAGAAGGGAGGGGTGGAGGGAGGTGTTTTAAGATTTGGTTTTACTTCTCATTATCCTCTTGTCTGAGTGGTAATAAATTAAATTTGTTTTTTCCCCAAGTCAAATCTGTTTTGCCTGTACCAGTAACTGGTGGATGATCTCTCTCTGTCCTTATCTCCACCCACGAGCCTTTCATTATATTTTTCTTCCCCTGCCCAGTTGAAGAGGGGGGTGACAGAGTGGGCTTTGGTGGACATCTGGCATTCAGCTAGGGCCAACCCACCACAGTAGTTGTTGCAAGTAATAATGCACAGACTTTGCACGGGCCTTATATTTTTCACCAGTGAGGCAAGAACAACAACCTCTGATAAGTGAAAAGCTTAGCTGGGCATAAAGATAATTTAGCTATGGATGCCCTTAACTGTGTTTCGAGATTGGGCAGGCCCAAACAGAGGGCAACAGGGAACATGGAAAATGGTACAAACAGCCTGCACCAGCTGTGAACAAAGCCAATCCAAGTTCCACCAGTGTTTTGAATCCACTCTGGAATGCAACATGTTCCAGGTATGAATGAAAATGTAGACTTTAGCCATCCTTTCCCACCTTCATAGCCTCACCATACTATGCATTGGCACACATATTAAAATACATAGTGCAAATTTCAGCAGTGAAATGAAGAGGCTCGCCCTATCCCAACACAGCAATGTGTGTTTCCCATTAGGCCCTCTTGGACAGATCTTACTGAGTGTCTGTTTTGTAAGGAAAAGAAGCATGTCTTTTCTAAATATAAATACTTCATATACTTATCAAATACTTATACTGGGACCTGCAAGATACATCCCAGAGTCCTGAGGGAACTTGCTGATGTAGTTTCTAAGCCACTCTCCATAATACTCAAAAAGTCATGGCAGTCAGGTGAAGTCCCTGGTGACTGGAAAAATTGAAACATTGCACCCATTTTTAAAAAGGGTAGAAAGGAGGATGCTGGGAACTATCGACCTGTCAGCCTTACCTCTGTACCTAGGAATACCATGGCACAGATCCTCCTAGAAGCTAAGCTAAGGCACATGGAGGACCCAGAGGTGATTTGAGACAGCCAGCATGGCTTCAGTAAGGGCAAGTCCTGCCTGACCAACATAATGGCCTTCTATGGTGGAGTGACTACATCGGTGGATAAGGGAAGAGCAGTGGATGTCATCTATCTGGACTTCTGTAAGGCCTTTGACACGATCCCCAACAACATCCTTCTCTCTAAATTGGAGAGCTATGGATTTGATGGGTGGACTATTCAGTGGATGAGGAAGTGGTTGGTTGATCACATCCAGAGGGTAGTGGTCAACAGGTCAGTGTCCATACAGAGATCAGTGATGAGTAGTGTCACTCAGGGGTCCATAGTGGGACCAGTACTATTTAGTATCTTCATCAGTAACTTAGACAGTGAGATTGAGTGCAGGCTCAGCAAATTTGCTGATGACATCAAGCTGAGTGGTGTGGTTGACACACCTGAGGGGTGGGATGCAATCCGGAGGGACCTGACCCAATAGGCCAACCATATCCTTAGCCCCATTCTGGGAAACACTCAAGGTCAGGCTGGATGGGGCTCTGAGCAACATGATCAATTTGAAGATGTCCCTTGTCACTGCAGGGGGGTTGGACTAGATGACGTTTAAAGGTCCTCCCTTCAAACCCAAATTATTTTATGAATCTATGTTCAGCTTCTATCTCTCCTAAACATCAACACCTCAGCAGCAGATTAATGTATTTGTGACACCAGGATGCATCACAGCAGAGCTTTATGACTGTTATTCTGAAACTGAGCTCCCTGTGCTAGAAAGGACTCTTGCCTTGAAGCAGGGAGCCTACCTGAGATAGCCCAACACTTCATACTGGTACCTGGTCTTCCTACATAGCTGGCTACCTGGAAGAGTCAGACCCAGTTGAAGAGGGCTGTGATTAGAAGGGCCCTATTTGTTATAGTGGAGAGTGTTATGAAGCTCAGCAGAGGTTGAAGATGACTTTTCTTGATAGGGCTTAAATGTAGTTAGTACTTTCCTTTTTTTCTCCTTTTTATTTTTTTATTCTTTTATTTATTATTATTATTAAATTACCTTGTTGATCATAATTATCACAGAAAGGAAAATTCTTTCAAGAATTTTAGTATCCAAACATTAACAATCCCCCTGCTGCTGATGGTACATAGGCCTACCAGAAACAGTCCTTGTATAAAGTTTAAATGTGTGTTTAATGCATGTCTGTAGTTTAGGACACAATATGAAAAGTTTGAAACAGGGGTGTGTCTTCTCATGTCAATATAAATAGTGAATTAATAGTGATTAATATGGAATAGTATTTTATTTTTCCTGTACTCTTCTGTAGCACATCTAAGGCACAGTAGTGTGACTGTTGAATTATCTCACTTGATGTGGTCAAGATTTTTTTGGGTATCTACAGTGGCCTTGAAATAAAACCAGAATTGTTTTTTCAAAGCAGATAGAAGCACTTCTATTTACCTATAAGCTTAGCAGGTTTCCCTCTTAGATTAGCCTGATCTATCTTAAAGGAGCCCCAGTTTTTATCAGAAGTATCTTCTTTAAGTCTGTTTAAATTTTCCTATCAAGCTGAAACCATGCTAAGAAAAAAGCTCGATAAAATATGTGTCATATGCCTTAGGAGTCCCAGGCATACCAACACAATTCCAAATACAGATAGTTTGCTCAGTATGAAGCATTTTCTTCCCAGATCTTTCTAGTGTATAAGTAATGACCCAAGGAACTTTATAGCTTTCATTAAACTTTTATTAAACAATATGACCAACGTAGTACACATCCTATCTACATATAAATTCAGGTGACATTTAGGTTTCTAGAAAAAGTTGAAGCAGAAGTTTTTTGTTCTCTGTGTCTCAATGTATCTTAGAATCATAGAATCATAGTGTTTGGAAAAGACCTTTAAGATCATCAAGTCCAACCATTGACCTATCACTACTAATCCCATCTGTAAACCATGTCCCTAAGCACTTCATCTACCCGTCTTTTAAATACCACCAGGGATGGTAACTCCACCACTTCCCTGGACAGCCTGTTCCATCTTACTCTCTACTCTTCTCTTACATACAGACTAGGTTTTTTTCTATTTCAGTTTCCCCCACTTCTCCTTTTTTAGTGTCTAAACTCCCTGTTTTTCCTGGTACTTGGCAGCTTTATCAGAGTCATCATTAAGATGACCTTCATCTTAGTACTACAAATTCACTAATATGAGGCACACACTGGGAGGTACTGCTTGGATTAACCAGAATCAGATAAATTGTGACTTAAAATTATTTTCTTCAGTGGTATTTCAGAGCTGTTCCCTTGAAATCAGGCCTTATTCTAGACTATGCATTTCTGGACCAAACCATGGTTTAAGTGTACTTCTTAAATTACTGATACTTAGACAGAGCATTGATTCTGCAAGCAAAAGTAATTGCAGCTTGCCTTAGCAATATACTGAACAGAACAAAAATTAATAAGGAAAAAGGTACTCTCTCACTGTGATTTTGGGACCTTCCAGGTAACAGCAAAACTGTTACTCATTTAAAATTAATAAACAATAGATATAAAAACAGGACCGGAAAAATGACCCTGTTCTATTTTTACATTCTGATTTTACAAGAAATGTGTCTGTTGGAAGTTATTACTAGTAGAACAGCTTGTGCCAGGACTACACCTTTACAGAAATTTGCAGAAACGCTGCTCTCACAATTCCTCAAGATGTCTATTATATGTCCAGACCAGTAAGAGACCACATGCATCTTGTTGCTGAGTTTGATTTTAACTACACTTATGCAGCAGTTTCTTTCTAAACTCTGTCTCAAGTGAGTAGACAATCTGTTCAGCAGTCTGTAGACCGTATGTTTAAGGACATTATATAAATTTTCCTCAAAGGTTATTTTGCAGTCCAAAACTCCACAAAATTAACAATTTATTATTTTTCTGTTCTACTGTTCTGGTTATTGATTTTTGAAGTAATTCATAGCTTCATACAAAGGTAACTTCTCTGGAATAGTTTTCCATTGCACTTTCATTTACATTTCATCAGTGGCAGAGCATCACTCAGGTACCCATGCAATTAAGCCAAATTTCCTACAAAGAGAGGGCTGGGGTTTAAATTCATCACCAAAACATGAAACTGACTTGTGCCAAAAACCTACTCTCAAATATACCCATATTACTAACTCTACTGCTTTGTTTATTTTTATGCCAAATATCTGGGGACATCCAAGACCACTGTTGTCTTCTCTGTGTTGTATTGTATGGTTGAAAATGAGAGAAACACCAAAATACCTTTTACATAAGGTTGAAGATGATGAAAAAAAATAACAGAAAAAATAATAGTATAAATACAGACAAAATACAGTGAATATAGACAGTAGCTAAATCCCAGTTCCACTTTTCCAGGATTAACTTCAACACGAGCTCCTGAATTGTTACTTGTACTTTAAGGATTTCTACCTGTAAGGTGACTAACTGATTTACTCTCTCAAGGAAATTTTCAACTGGCTGTAATATCAAGCTCAATAAATATTAATTAAAAAAAAATACTAATTGATTTTATACTACATATTTAATACAGACATGTGTCTAAAGTATCAAAAAGTAATTTACCTTTTTGGCATGCAGCAGGGCTATGATAATAAATACTATGCTTTATTACCTTCCATAAGTACTTACTTTCAATCTCCTTAATTTTCATTTCCCAGGGTATGCAGGCTGTCTTAAAATTCTCAAAATCTCTTTGAAATTTCATCCATTTCTGAAAAGGATCACACGTTAAAAAAAAATCATCATTTCAGTGCCCAGACGCTCAATTTTCCCTTGAGCTAGTGTAACCCCTTAATCATCCACAGTGTCCTTTGGCAAGCCCACTGCAATAGAAGCACTAGCTTGTAAAGAACCATCTCCTTTTGTTTATTCGGAATATATCTCCTACTGGCTTTGTGTGAAGTCTGTATTTCTTCCACAAGAAGATTGACTAAATAAGACCTTACTTTCATGCCTTTTTCTTTGTTTGGCTTTTTTTAAAAAAAAAAAGAATTGTTTTAAAAAAAAAAGAAATTTTTTTTTAAAGAATTGTTTCTGAGAATTTAACTTGTTATTTCCTTTGCTTTTCAAAATTCAGATCTGGAGCTCAAGTTGTGTCATTTAATTACAGTTACCCTACCCAGTAGTTTATCTGTAGGATAAGTATAACTTCTGTAATTGAGCTTCCTGTGCTTAGCTAAGCTCGAAAGCCTAATTATTGCAAATTAATGCTTTTGAGATGTGACTACACAACTGCTTGCAGAAAATCCAGTCTAAGTAAGGGTAAACCCAGCCATAGCAAGTAGTCCTGCCATATATTCTTAGCATCATCCTGCATCAGCATTTTAGTTTGGAGCAACTGTGCTTTTGAAGTGAATCTCCTAAACCATCCCAATTTAACACACTTAAAATCACACTGTAAAGTTGTGTCAGAGCGCAAAACTAAGTCAAAAGATGTACTTGAGTGGCATGTTATTTCACATCCACTGCTACTGGTTATTTAGTCCTTGGGACCACACAGAATTTAGCCCAAAGAAAGACCTGCCAGAACATATATTGTGTGGATATTGGATCGTCAGCAACCACTGTTCAGCCTTTTGGTCACAGTCTTACAACAGAGTTGTATTGCTTCCTAGAATATACGTGGCCCTAGAGCCTTGGCTCAGTGAAGATGTCTCCAATATATTTGCTCTGGGGCAAAAAGACACGTTTTGATCCTTCACAGAGGACTGTCTCAAGAGAAGGCCTGAGCTTTGGAGTCAGTTCACAGAAAAACCCAGTCTACACGAAGAGAAATTAAATTTTGCAAGATATTAAACTCACAAACTCTTGCAAAACAGTTTATTTTTCTCTTAATAACAAGTCTCGATTAAACTGCAAGCTTGCATTAGAAAACTTTTCATGTAAAAACATTGGAAATAAAAGTGTTAAAATGCAAAGAAGGACAAGGAATATTATTTTGGAAGTTGGATACATATGGCAATAATCTGCAAAAGGCTCTCCATTTGCATACATTAAGTCAGTGAAATAATAAATTTACCTTGGTCATCATCACTTTGTATGCATAAAATTTTTTTCCTTTTCCTTTTCCAAGAGCACCTTCAAACTTTTCCACAAAAAGCTGAGCTTCCCTGGAACATCAAGGCAAAAGAGAGGTATAGATCATGCTACAATAAACATGATATTGACTCTACCATAGCAATGTAATTTTTATGTGTTCTAACTCCTCATACACTTTGTATAATCTTGTTCCCTTAGTAATGTTTAGAAAGAAAAGGTCTGAGATTTTGTATTTCACAGGTGACTAATAATATGTAGTGCAAACAGAACAAGAAGCTTCACTCATCTACTCTAACCCAAATGCATTTGGAGCTCTGAGATTTACCTACATCCAGTTAATGTTATCAAATATTTTTAGTTACAGTGACTTTTCTTTGCAGTTCAGCTGCTGCCTATTTGTGCCACTTACAAACTGTTATTCCTCCTGATTCCATTTAATAGAGATTGTTGTCCAGTTATCTTAGGGAAATGTATTTTCATTTTTTTTATTTTGGAGATATATATACACTAGAGCCTTTTTGTTCATCCTTTTCAAGACTATATTTAATTCAACTCTTCTGAATTTCTTCATATATCTTCTCTAACTGTACCATTAGCACAATCATTTCTCAGAAGTGTAGCTTCAGTGGTCTGCAAAAGACTAAAATTTCACTTATACAGATATGGAAATTAAATGATACCCTGGTGATACAAATATGAAAGGAAAATTTTTAAACTGTTTTAAAAAGGCATAATGTCCATGGATTAGAAGAATAAACAGATGAAATCAAGAGCATATTCATATTTTGTCCATTTCATCTAATTTTCATTTATAAGTAGGACTTTTATGTGTCTCTCTAGTGAGAAAATATGCCCTAAAGGCATTTATGTTCTGATCTGAAGCACTGGAAAATAGAGTAAGAGTACTTAGCTGTCAGTGTATGTACAAGACTGTACTTTATTATCACATTAGATGACTACAAAGTATTGTATACTATACTAGGCATTACACTAAGCACTTGGAAAAAAGTAGACTATTGGGAAAATGTTAATTGTGACGCACATCTCTCCAGAAGCGTTACAGATAAATTCAGTGAGTTACATTAATTATAATGCTTATATCTTCTGCTCACATATGTTATGTAAACAAGCAAACAGATTTTGTTAAACTGCAAAATCTGGCAATAACATTTGCGGAGAAGTAGTATAGCTATGATAAAGGAGAATTAAAACAATATGTGGAGGCGACTATTAGCCATGTAGTAATTCCTTTTAATTCATGGTTAAAAATCTCAACATCTTTAAAAATACTGTGTATTTTTAGTAACTGCAAGTGCTTAGGGTGATCTTCATACTATCTGGAGACAAATCAAAACCATTCCCCACTAGACACCCACTGCATCCATCTCTTTTGCTTGCAGTATCAAGGCTCTGAACAGCCTTTTGTGTCTACAATTCCCAAGACGGTGCAAAATTGAGCTACTGAACTGAACTTTCTCTCTCTGAGAGCTTTCCCTCTGGGAACCCTCTGAGCCCTCTCATCTTCCAAGTGCTCACACCTAAACCCAGTAGATGAGGCGGCAGGACCAGTGCCAGTTCACCTGACCTCCCCAGGAGTTCAGCATGCCTTTTCAACACCATCTGAGATCCCAATTTCTCCTTCAAAGACACAGGTTAGCAGAAGCAAAAAGCTATACACAATGACGTAAGTTTCAATTCAATCTCTGGTTTGTTTTTTTTTTTGTTTGTTTTACCTGAGGCATAAGGTATGAATAGATTCAGATAAAAATGTTAAATACCCAGCCACCACCTGAGCATCACATCCCACCTGTTCACCACTTCAAAGCATTGCTTGGGGATTGAGTCAGTGGTTTTTTAAGGCTCTAGATCCCTTATTCTCATTTATGCACTTCTGGATCATGTGTGCATTCTGGATTTTGGAGTCTGATCTTTCTGTACTTAAGCTAAATTTGACTGAGCTTTCTTTATTTTCCAAGCCACTTTGGATCCTTCAGAGATTTTCTGGCTCAGTGCTCACATCTCATTCTTTCATTTTGATTCTCAAAAAATTCTGCTCTTAAATTTCATTTTCTCAAAGAAATCAGAGGAAACAAGTTCTTTCAGCTTCAGGAAAGCAGTGTCCTAGAGTCCCTTTTAATCCATGTCCTCAGGGTTTAAAATCTTGTTGCACTCTCAAGAGATATGACTGTCAGCAGATGCCAACTTCCTCATAAATTCAGCAGTCAGTCCTGGAGCTGCACCATAAAAGCAGACAGAATCAATAAACCTGACATGTACCAGTCTCCCAGGTCAGCACATCATGTTCTGGACTCAAGAGGAAAACCTTCTACCACCACTTCTATTAATAGGTAATTCAAGCAATGGAGCTTGTTCATGCAAAATTACTGAAATCAAAACCTATAGAGCTGTAGAAAACTCCTGTTTTGAGTCAATAATTACATGCAGTTATGCTGCAGAACATGAAGATTTCAAATTGCAAGTGATTTGTTGGTTTTTTTTTTTTACAGTGAAGCATTAAGTTAGAAATTTTAGAGGATAATATGAAAGCAGCCATTAACACATAAAAAATCCTCCATAGCAGATATGAACAAGTTTTGCATCTGCAGCTGAACACAAAAGTTATCCACAAGCATGTTCTGTTATAAAATTAAGCTAAGACAAACAAGAAGAACTTTCCACAATAAAAGTCATAAAAAGATTTATTTTAAAGTCTGAATACAAGCCTTCTGTTCACTTGTTTGAAATGTCTTTTTAAAAGGTTTTCTAAAAAAAAATATTTCTTATAGCTGTCTGCCTCCTGGACTCTCCATCAAGCAATCTTTCAAGTAAAAGTGTTAACAGTATTTGAACTTTTTCTCTAGGACAAAGTAAAACATTGCTTTTTGAAGGTGGTGATCCAGACCTCCGGGTTTAATGCTGCTGTTTCTCCTGAACTCTTCCCTGGGTTTTACTTTGCCAGTGGTTAAAGTTTCCTTTCTCCCTGCACCCCTTCTTCCCCAACACTGCTACGTTCCAATGTGTGCTGATTACAGAACTGTTATAAACTGCCCTTAAATATTACTGCTATATAATTTGCTTTTCTCAGAGTTTCACTCCATTGGCCTGCATTGGACTAAGTTCATCATTGCAGCACAAACAAACATGATGACATGATACCAGATAATACTCTTACTGGGTGGTTAAGCATGCAGTCAACTGAGTTACACACAAGAGTGGAGCACAAAACTAGTTGGATCCATACATGCACAATATTTGTGAAGGTACTTTCATGTACCATGAAAGAAGTATGAGACAACTCCTTTCATTTATTTATATATTTCTTTCCTATATTTACAAATTTGTTTTATAAATCTTGAAAAAACCCACCTAAGTCCAAATGGTGGGCTTACAGTATTATTTTAGTTTTCCATTTGCACTGTGTTTGCATTCTAGTCTAGTTAAAATACACCGTGATTATTGGAATTAATAAGACTTTTGGCATTAATGCATGTTTCACACTAACTATGTCAAGAACTCATAGTTTTAAAACTATGCAAGTTTTAAACATGCATTAAAAACTGTGGCTATTCATATTTCCCATTCTTGTGAAGTGATAGCCAAAATCATTGCATAGATAATAATCATTGCATTAAAAAAAATGTAGCATATGCTATAGGGCCCAAAGAGATGTGGTGAATGGAGTTAAATCCAAATGGCAGCTGGTCACAAGTGGTGTTCCCCAGGACTCAGTAGTGGGGTCAGTTCTGTTTATCTTTTTCAATGATCTGGATGAGAGGATTGAGTACACTCTCAGTAAGTTTTCAGACGACACTGTGTTGGACAGGAGTGTTGATCTGCTTGAAGGTAGGAAGGATCCAGAGAAGGGTCTGGACAGGATAGATTGATGGTCCAAGGCCAACTGTGTGAGGTTCAACAAGGCTCAGCACCAGATCCTGGACTTGGGTCACAACAACCCCATGCAGCACTACAGGTTTGGGGAAGAGTGGATGGAAAGCAGAAAAGGACCTGGGGATGTTGGTCGATACCCAGCTGAACATGAACCAGCAGTGTGCCCAGGTGGCTAAGAAGTCCAGTGGCATCCTGGCTTCTATCAAAAATAGTGTGATCACAGGAAAGTGATTGTCCCCCTGTACTTGCTGCTGGTCAGGCCGCACATCAAGTACTGTGTTCAGTTTTGGGCCCCTCACTGCAGGAAAGACACTGAGGTGAAGTGTCTGAAGGTGAAGACAAAGCTGGTGAAGGGTCTAGAGAGCAAGTCTTATGAGGGAACCAAGGTTGTTTAGTCTGAGAGGAAGACTAAGGAGGAAAGAAGACTGACAGGAAACTTTATCACTTTCTACAACTACCTGAAAGGAGGTTGTAGTGAGGTGGGTGTCAGTTTCCCAGGGAACAAATAATAGGACAAGAGGAAATGGCCTCAAGTGCTGCAAGGGGAGGTTTAGACTGGATATTAGGAGAAATTTCTTCTTTGAAAGGATTGTCAAGCACTAGAACAGGCTGCCCAAGGAAGTGGTGGAGTCACCATCCCTGGAGGTGTTTAGAAGGCATGTAGATGTGGCACCAAGGGACATGGTTTAGTGCTGGACTTGGCAGTGTTACTTAACGGTTGGACTCAATGATCTTAAGAATCCTTTCCAGCTTAAATCATTATGTGATTCCATGATTGTATGATTATTATGCAGTTGAAATATTTTTTAATTATTATTAAAAATAATAGAGAAATTATGAAAAATAATAGAGAAAAGAGTGAAAATCTCCTTTCACTTTTGGTGTAAATGAAATCAAGTTACCGTTGATGTTCTACAAGCATGTCTTACTTTTTGGTGTTTGGTAGATCTTAGCAATAACATTCCATATAGCATTTTCATACTGCTCATTTAGGGAGACTAAGTCTTACAAGGGAATCCCACAGAATGCAAATATACAGAGGAGTTATTACATGCTCTACAGCAGCCTAGATGTTAGCTTCATCCATGAATATTTGCATAATTTGAAGATCTTATTTAATTGATAGTTAAATACAAATCTCAATAACAACTTGATTCTATGAACAAATCACACCAGAGTTTTA